ATGGGGCGAAAACCCAGCCTACGATGTGAACATTAATGCCTACTTCAATGAAGGTGTCGATGAACAGGGGTACAAGCAACTTATCTTCAACATTCTCAAGCATCATTGAAAACTACTACCTTGATGGTTTGCTTTCATTTATTTCCAATAAGCCAGTAGTTGCTTTATTTGATTTGTCGTGCATACATAAAAGATTTTCCGCGACATTTTATCTATTTTTGCAAACGATATAAAATATTAGCAACAACAATTTAATTCGTCATCCAGTGACCTCAAACGGAAGCAGCAAGAATACACTGATTTATTAGGGTTTCCCTGCATCAAAAATGTTTACTCATAGGAATATTTATTGCGATTACATTCTAATATAAACGTGGCTGTTTATCTTTCAGCCATTTATCTTTCAGAAATCAAATTCAACGAAAGACATAAAGAATAAGATAGAATAGATATAAAAAATTTACATAATTTCACCAAAACATAGGTGGATCGGACGACGTCGAAACGTTAACGAAAGTTACTTATAACAATCTAAACGTTGATCCGTGTTCTAGCGACAGCAAAGGCAACAGAATTGTATTACCACCAGGAAGATAAAGACGCGCAATTGCAATGAGAAAAAAAATAAAGTATTCGTTTTAAGAATTGCTTGAATAAACAAGTAGCAGCCTGAAACAAATGAAAAACTATCGAAAGCATGCTCAGTCCAACTTACCAGAGATTTTCTTATTTCATTGCATCCAAAGCGACGCCGGGACCTTATAGAAGGATTACACAAGGATCGAATAAATGCCTGCTCATTCTTCAGTCCTCTTGATATCAAATCAGTTTCAACGAGATCGTCCTATCTTGCTGGAAGTTTTTCCCGTGGCAGCAAGCCAGGATTGTTCGTAGATACTGCAGGCATATCTTAAAAATTATTGCTTATACAGGCTTACCCGGAAAACTAAACAACAACTTCATTTGAGTTTACAAATCTTAGAAGTAATGGCTACATAAAACTGCGTTTAAGCAGTGAAACGTTATCTCTCGCCACTACAAAATGTTCAAATTAACCATGTTATGAAAAAATCTCATTGCGCCTTCTATTAAGAGTGTGAGCAAAGGTGAGAGAAAGGAAGCATCACGGAATAACACACTCATCAAATTCAAGAACAGCAGTGTGGCTTCAGTTCTGGCTGAAGCACATGATACCAGATATTCACCCGAAGCCAGACTGCTGGGCAATCGTAGGACTACCGTAATCTAGTTTCTACGTACTTTATCGACTTTGAGAAAGCCTATGACCGCGCAAATTGATGGTCATCTGATACGAGTCATTCCTTCGCTATTTGTTCACAGCAAGTGCTGCTTCAGAGTAAATGGCATTCAGTCTGAACATTTCAGCGTTGGCACTGGTTTCCGCCAAAGCTGCATTCTGTACCCTGTCTT